TTAAATTACTCGCCGGGCGACAACATGGGGCCGCCGGCGGGTGGAGGGGGCGGCCACAGCAGCAACAGCACCGCTATGAATGATCCCCACTTCCTTGGTCGTCAGAACCTGAGCAATTGCAGCCGCCATGGTCCTATTCCTAACATTCTCACAGGTAACAGTCGCCCGCTGTTTTGCAGCGGCGTAGGTGGGGGTGTTGAACGTCGGCCGCCCGGAAGCAACCGCCTTCCGCTCTTGAACGGACGGCTCCCAAACCTCTCGGGACACTCCCCCCCGGTCTCGTCGAAAAAAATCAAACGAGATCGGGCGGATTTGGGAGCAGAGTTTGCTCGGCGGGTTAGGACGCCGAGAAGGTTCGCGTTGGAGACTTTGTGGTTGCTGTCACGAGGTGGGAGGAGTTCCCATCCCTCGCTCCAGCTCCTGCCAATGCCAGTAGTTTGAAAGCAGAGGAACCGTGGGTAGATAGATGGGTACCACTTTGGCGGACAACTTAACGGGGACACAGAAGGAGCCCCCAACTGGGCCTCCCACCCCTCCCACCCCGGGCAATGGGGATACCACAGTCCAATCCTTTCAACCCGTTTTGGTGCTCCCGACACAAATGTTGTAGTTGTAACAGTAGGAGTGGGATGGGATTCTCCCTGGTTGGACCGGTTCTATAGAACCGGTTGTTCCCCTCCCCTCCCACGGACTCCTTAGCTGGTCTGCACGCCATCAAACTTGCCTGCTAAGTGGTTATTTTTCCTTCTTTTCCCCCCCGAGCGTCTGCTGTGCGGGGAGATTTAGATTAGCTAGAAAAGCAGGAAATCGTTGCATTTCTGGCTTTCTAGCTCATCTAAAAGCAGAGCTGAACCTTCCTGAGGACCGAAGTTTCTATTTTTTCAGTGCAGACTCAGGCAGCAGATGGCGGAAAGGTAGATCTCTGAATGAATCTGTGATTCTGTGAACAAAATCTGCCTGCCTGCTTTGCTTTCTTTTGGGTAAAAGTTGCTCTTTTTTATTAAAAAAAAATCAATATTCACATCAATATTTATAATATTTACATACAAGCCATGGCGACCCAGTCACATGACCACCAAGCCATGCCCACAAATTAGGCCACGCCCACAGAACCGGTGGTTAAGACATTTGCATCCCACCATTGAGTAGGATAGATTAGCGTTCTTCTGCATCCTAGCTCTCGGGAGCGCAGTTTCGGCCTGCCACGGGGTCCCGAATGGGCCTTTGGGTTCCAACACCCCCGTTGTGTAGCTGTGGGTGTCTTTGATTTTTCCTTCGTAGGGGATTCCCCGCCTGGCATCTCCAAAGAATTCGTCAGCATCCTGGCGGGCATGCCGGGCTTCGAAATGGACACGGCTTCCCTGGGCCTGGACGAGGACCTGAAGATCGAGCCGCTGAGCTTGGACGGACTCAATATGCTGAGCAACCCTTATGTCCTGCTGAGTGACCCGTCTGTCGAAGACTCCTTCCGCACCGACCGGCTCCAGTGAACCAGAAGGGGTTGACCAGAGACACCCCAACCCCCCCCCAACGCTACGAACTCCCCCCACACCCACCACCCCGACTCTAGCAGGAAGAGCGGGATCCTCACGAGCCGTGGAGAATCAAACGGGCCGCGTTTGCCAATCCTCGGAGGGGGGGGGATCAAGACAGAAGCGGACGATTCGCGCTTTGCTTCCTCCCCGTTTTCCCAAACGCCGCGTTTCCCCTCCTCCCCACAAACACACACACACACACACACACACCTGGGGAGGGGGGGGGAGACCCCTGTAGCTTCAGTAGCTTGAACGCTCCTAAGCTTGGCCGAGAGGTTAAGCCCGGCCCTGGGGTCAAGGGACTCGAGGAGCAGGCAACGAGACTGCGGGATCCTTTCACACGCACCCGGTGTCGGATGGACCGTACGAGCGGAAGAATCGAGGAAGGGGGAATCCCCTTCCCAGATGTATCCGGGTTGGGCGAGACCGGGGTGTGTGTTTGCGTGTGTCACTTTCTGAACCCCTCGAATCAAGGGACGGGGCGATGTGAAAGCATCTCGGATGTCTTTCGCCCCGGGTCTCGTTCCCCCGACAAGGTGGCTCCCGGAGGGAGGACAGAAGAGAGAATGTCAATCATGTTTGTTTATCGTTTCCCTTTTCTCGCCTAATCGATTTCTTTGCTGTCTTTTTAATTTTATTTTTAAAGAAGTCTGTACATAACCCTTCCTCCGTTTTTTTTCCCTCTTCCTCCTCTTCCTCTTCTCTCTCTGTCTCAAAACTGCCATGTTCCCCCCCCCCCCGCCCCCACCTTGGAGAGATGAAGGAGAATAATTTTCCTAGTTAAGGCACTTCTAACTTTTGCATTCTTAATCCGTCGGGCGTCGGAGCAGCCAGCAGCAGAGGGGCGGGGGTGGGGGGCGAGGGGAGGGGGGAAATGGTGGGAAGACAACCCCCCCCCCCCCCCCCCCCCCAGCTGGGTCAGCCACAGACCCAACTTGTTGCCTCGTTCCACTTACCTCCCCTTTGAGGAGGACATGAACCAGAATGATTTTATTATTATTTTTTAAATACATGTGAATTATCATGATGTTCCCCGTTCTCCGTTTGTGGTCGTTCTCTCTCTCTCTCTCTCTCTCTCGCACCCTGACCGAAAATCAGAATATATCGACAGAATAAGGCGGTTGTTAGCCCGTCACAACCTCCGGGCGCACCCGTCTTCCAAATGTGTGTGTGTGTGTCTGTGTGTGTGTATGTGTGTGTGTGTGTACAGAGCCAGACAGCCACGGAGAGCGAACACGTGTCCTTTTCCGTTTGTGCCGGCCAGTCCACCTCGGCCCCTTTTGGAGGGCGACTCCGTTCCGTCCGTCTCGTCTTCCCAGCCAGCTTTGAGCAAAGGTCAGTGCTCACTTTTTGGAGGTGCGGTGGTGGGCTTCCTCACTCCCTCCCTCCCTCGCCCCCAAATGCACCCCACATCCAGTGACGTCGAGTCCAGAATCGTCGAGTCCAGAATCCGAATTCGGCTCCATCCAAGAGCACCGCGATGCAAGGATATTCCCGAGAGCACGTGCAGAGAGCAAGGGCAGAGCGGGATCTGCAGGTTTTCTTAACCTTTCCTCGATTCCGCTTATCGTTCCCTTCCGGATGGCTCCAAAGCAGGATTTCCAACAATTTAATATCTTTTCTATTTCCCCTTTTTAATTTTTTGTTCATGGGAAGAGGGGCTTTCCCGCGCGACCATCGCACCGCTCTTGCGTGCTAAAGAAGGTGTGGCCTTGCAAGAAACTGGTTTGTTCGATCAGGGTTTATCAAGGGCGCCCCCTGGCGCTTATAACGGGAATTTCCAGCCATTTTGTGGGGAAAAAATATTTCTCTAATTCTGATTTTTTGTTCAAGGGGACGTTTTCCTGAGCGCTCCCTTTTTTCCCCACTTCAACGGTTGTCATCCCAGAGAAGAGAGAGATAGTGGCCTTCCATGAAACTCTGGTTTGTTCGATCCGGGTTTAGCGAAGCGTCCCCTGGCTCCTAAAAACGGGGATTTCCATCCATTTTGGAGGAGAAAACGCCTCCCTAATTCTGATTTTTCTATTCAAGGGAAGAGGAATGATTCCTTTCCCGGAGGATTTCCTTTTCCCACGACAAAAATTGTCATCCCAGAGAAGAGAGCGGTGGTGGTGGGCTCGCATGAAACCATGGTTTGTTTGAACAGAGCTTATTGACCGAACCACCCCACCCCCCAACCTGGCCTGCGAGATCCCCAACCCTGGACCCATTTTAGCTCTGATGGAATTGGGGTGGGTGGGTGTATTTCGTGAACTACTTCCTTCCAGGGTCATCCTTCAGCCACACAGGTAGTCCTCAACTTACAACGGTTCGTTTAGCGGCCCGTACAACGGCACTGTTTTTTCCCGCAGTTCAAAACCTTGGCACCGTTTTCCCCTGATCCCGCGATTCCTACTTAAGACGAGTCGCTTGCGTCCCCCTTTTGCGACTTTTCTGACCGGAACATTCAAAAAGAAGGGGCGGGGAATCCGGATTCACTTAACGACGAGGTCGCTAACTCATCCGCTGCAGCAATCCGTTTAACGACGGTGGCAAGAAAAGTTAAAAAGGGGAAAATTGGCGGGGGGAGAGCAAACTTCGCTTAACACCCGTCGACGTTGGGATGCGTCGTGGTCGTACTTGGGGTGAGTTTCGGCTCTCGGCGACTCCCAAGCTAGGTCGCTGTCAAACTTGATTGACAGGACCCCTGCCCCACCCCGTTTTAAAAAAGGCGCAATGATTTTTTGTAATGATTGAAATTGTCATTAATTAAATAATGTGGGAACGAGCCGTGGGAATTGAGAAATTTGGGGGGGAAATGTGTGCCAGCCCCCTGAGGATCCTTAAAAGCAGGTTTTTTTCCCCCTCCCGCCAGAAGCCTTTTTGCAGCTTTGTCGAAAACGCAGGTTGGAATCCTAAGGCTGGAAAAAGGGACCCCCGGAGGTTGTCTAGTCCAACCCCCGACCCAAGCAGGAGATCCTACGGCTCTGCTGGCAAGCCCCTCCCGATGACATGATTTGAACCGCAAACTCCTCCCCTGTTTCACTCCCGCATCTACCCAAAACAGCTCCTCTCCGCCGTGCGGGGAGTCCTCGACTTAGCACCCGTTCCACATTTGCGACGCTCCTTGAAAAAAAAAAAACCGGTCATCCCACGAGCGAAGGGCAGTTCGAAGTTGGATTCTCTGACTCACCAAACTCTCCCCCCTCCCCCCGGTGATCTGAGTCAACACCCATGGGTGGGGGTGGGGGGTCGCCTTCCCCGTAAGGGACGCGTCTCACTTAACGACAAGCTGCGGTCCTAAGTCGAGGACCTTCCCCAATCGATACGGAAAACAGATTTCTCCCCCCCCCCCCTGCTTTCTTCACACCCAGGAGTAGGGATGATGGAAATACAACTTTTTTGGGGGGTGGGGGGGGCGAGTGGGGGAGGAACGGTTCCTTTTCCGAACGAAGACGACAAAAAGACAAAAGACCAGTCGGAAAGTTGGGAAAAAAAAAGTTTTTTTTTCTTCTTCTTAAATCATCCTTAAATTCTCCCCAGGGCCTGGTTTCTCTTTCAAGCCCCCCCCCCAACCCCCCCAGTTTCCCCCACTGTCCAGCCTAGCTGGTCAAAGCTTCATTGTAAATCATGGCCAAAGCGCCCAGGAAGGTAACGTATTCCTGGAAATTGACCTCTTGATCCTTGTTCCGGTCCAAATCCTCCATCAGCCCCTGGATCTCGGCTTCGTGCAGTTTCTGGAGTGACAAGGGGAGGAAAAAAATAATAATAATAATGAGGAGGTGGAGGTGGAGGAGGAATAGAAGGAGGAGAAGAAGAAATAGGAGGAGAAGGAGAAATAGGAGGAGAAATAGAAGGAGGGAGGAGAAAAAAATAGAAGAAATAGGAAAAGA